AAGGAGGAGGGTTTTGGGGGGAAGGAGGAGGTTTTTGGGGTAGGAAGCTGCAGAGCAGGATCCCGGGGAGCGCTGCAGAGCTCCGGGTGAGCGTGGTGCACGGGGGAGGCTCGCAGCCCCGTGAGTCACCCACGAGCAATGTGTTGTGCAGCTTCGTGTTTGTTGAGAGCGATGCAGGACTGGACCACGTCCATCCCGAGAGTCTCTGGTTGGGGAGAAGGGGACAGAGAGCTCCAAGCTCCTCCTCACAAAACACAGAAGAGGAGATTTGTGCCCTGACATCCCTCCTCCCCGCCAGCACCTCCTGCGTTGCTTCTCCTGACGCCTGCCAGCCTCCATACACTGTCCTGTCCCACTGGAAGGACCCCAAAACCTGGGTCCACCTTTGCCTTTCAGCTGGGAGTCACCAGCAGCCCCACAAGTTTTCCCCACACACTGGGATTCATGGATGGGATGAACCCCTTGGCAGGATGGGTGTGCAGGGTGGGTTTGTGCCCAGTCTAAAGCCAAAGCTCCGTGTTTCAGAGTCCCGTCGTCGGACCATCTACGAATATCATCGTGTGGAGCTGGACACCAGCAAGATCACCAACATGTCAGCTGTGGAGTTCACCCCACTGCCCAGTAAGTCAGACAGGCTGGTGTGGTGCCCTGGAGCATGTTTCCCTCCTGTGGTTTCATCCAACAACCTCCTGTTTCCAGCCAAAGGGGGAGGCCAAGGCTGGAGGAGGCAGGTTCAGTGGGTGCTGGCAGGGTGTGTGGTTGCCCATCCATCACCCAATGGTTGGGATCCTGCTGTGGTGCTGTTGGCCAGGGGACAGCTCACCCTACCCTGGTGTCCACCAGTTATTCTGTCTTTATGAGAAGGTCTGTGCGTGGCTGTCACTGAACATCTCATCTGTACAGCCCTGTCTGGATTTATCAGCTCAGAATCAGCCTCAGCCAACAGCAGCTCCCAAGCGCGTGTGAGACGAGCGCCTGGGATGCAGCAAAGCTCAGCTGGGGTGGGAGAAGCAGATAAAAGTGGGATGTGCAGGGAATTACACTGTCCCTGCTTTGATCAGAGCTCCCCAAGTGACAGAGCAGTGGGGCCAGCCCTGATGTCCCTGGCAGTGATGTGCCATGATCCCAAGCTCTGCTCCATCCGTGGTCCCAAGCTCTGCTCCATCCATGGTCCCAAGCTCTGCTCCATCCGTGGTCCCAAGCTCTGCTCCGTGCTGCTCTACCATCACCTTCCTCATGAGCAGCTGAGCTGATGGCTCTTGTTGCTCACCAGTAGATCCCCTCTCACCCTGGTACTTTGATTCCTTATTTCCTGCACTGACAGCTCTTCCCACCTGTCCAGCCACTTAAACTGGTTTCTTCTTCTCAAACTCTTCTTCTTTGCTCCAGAAGCTGTAGATAATTTTGCTGGACACTGGTTCACTTCAGGTCTGTCTACAAGACATTTTCTACGCCTCCACACTCGGATGAAATTTCTTAGGGCTCCTGTTCAATACGTACATTTTTAGTGTTCGGATCCAAGGATGCAGATGCACGAGGGAAAGTTGCCACGTAGTCCATAAATACAGAGAGGAGAGTAAATCTGTTGCGAAGACACCAAGGTTGTGTGTTTAAACGGTCTCCCTGGGGTGTTTTATGACAATTTGAACAGCAGGCAGGGTGACTGCAGAGCAGATCAGAAATAACCATTCTGCAATAATTTATTTATTTATTTATTTTTCTCCTTAAGACTCGCTGTTTTGTTTTTCCTCAGCAGTTAGAATCATAAAATCATTTTGGTTGGAAAAGACCTTTAAGGTCATTGAGTCCAACCTTAAACCCAACACAGCCAAGCCCACCATTAATCATCGAATCATAGAATGGTTTGGGTTGGAAGGGACCTTAAAGATCATCCAGTCCCAACCCCCCTGCCAGCAGCAGGGACACCTTCCACTAGACCAGGTTGCTCAAAGCCTCATCCAGCCTGGCCTTCAACACTTCCAGGGAGGAGCAGCCACAGCTTCTCTGGGCAACCTGTTCCAGTGTCTGACCACCCTCACAGTGAAGAACTTCTTCCTAATATCTCATCTAAACCTCCCCTCTTTCAGTTTAAACCCATTTCCCCTTGTTTTGTCGTTAACTGCCCTTATGAAAAGTCCTTCCCCAGCTTTCTTGTAGCCCCTTCAGGTACTGGAAGGCGGCTAGAAGGTCTCCCCAGAGCCTTCTCTTCTCCAGGCTGAACAGCCCCAACTCTCTCAGCCTGTCCTCATAGGAGAGGTGCTCCAGCCCTTGGATCATCCTGGTGACATTAAACCATGTCCCTGAGTGCCACATCTACATGGCTTTTAAATCCCTCTGGGGATGGTGACTCCAGCCCTTTCCTGGGCAGCTTGGCCAGTGCTTGACAACCCTTTCAGCGAAGGAATTTCTTTTTGAAGCAGTATGTTTGGAGAAGCTGCAGAACTAGAGAGAATTAGACTCCACTTTTTCTTCTGGGGGTTTAATTTTTAGCCTTATTCAGGTCAGAAGTGGATGAACTGGGTTAGCCTCTGTGTCCTCTCCAGAGGTCCTTACTTGCTCGCTGCCTCCACATGGCAGGGAGCGCAGGAAAAGCTCTGGATGGGAAAGTGGAGGAGATCAGGACTGGAGCCCACCAGAAGAGTGTGGATGGAGAAGTGATGGAACATCTGGGTCAGGATGGAGCTGAGCTGACATCCCAGGTGGGATGGGGGTGCTGCTGCCTTTCAGGGTCCTGGGCACTGATGCAGAATGTGAACCTCTGCTGTTCTACCTTCGTTGTGGGTGCCCCATCCCTGGAGGCATTCAGGGCCAGGTTGGATGGAGCCATGGGCAGCCCGATGTAGTAGTTGGCAACCCTGTCCACAGCAGGGGGGTTGGAACTGGATGATCTTGTTTGGGTTTTTTTTGCAGACAAACCCTCTTGACCATCTTTTCTAGACAGGGTGACAAGCAAATGATGGTTCTTTCCAAGCAGCTTGTCCTCTCCAGTGTGGAGATACTCTCGCAGGATTACTTAGTATGGAGATAGCAACAGAGGGTTGAACTGTTTGTGTTGCTTCCTTTCTTCTGAGAAACACCTTCTGGACAATGAGAAATGGCACCCATCTCAGATGTGTTTTAATTCCCAGCTAGGCAGAATGGGAAGATGTTTACAGATGGACTGGGAGTCAGTCCTCCTGCTAGCAAGGCACAGCCTTGTCTTGCAGGTCCACGGCAGAGAGAGGTTGGGTTAGAGACTCTGTTGATGCTCTGGTTCCACTCACACCTCCAGCTTTCAGCAGATGCTCCCCTGTGCCCGTGCAGGTGCTGGGGTATCACTGGTACATCTCTCCTCTCTCTTTTACAGCTTGTCTCCAGCATCAGAGCTGTGAAATGTGTGTGACCTCGGAGCTGACCTTCAACTGCAGCTGGTGTCATGTCCTGCAGAGGTAGCTGGGATGAGTTTCCTTCCCACCTCTTCTCTCACTAAGGTTCCTATAGCTGGGAGAGCAAGTGCAGCTCTAGCTTTGGTGCCCGTGTCAGTGTTGCTGCTTTTCTATTATTGTTTTCCCTTTTTTGTTTATTTTTCTTCTTTGTTTGTTTGGGTTTTTTGGTTTTGTTTGGGGTTTTGGTGGGTTTTTTGTTTGTTTGGTTGTTTTTTGTTGTTGCTTTTTGGTTGAGTCAGGGTGCTGCTCTCATAGTCTCACAGCCATGGTAAAGCTTTGGGCTGATCTCCAGTTACAAGCCATTGAAAGGAGATATTTCCCAAGGCTGGGGTTTTTGGTCCTGATGTTTTGCTGCAGCAGTGGGAACAAGTTGAGACCAGAAGTAAAATTCACATTTTTGTCAGTGAAATTAAATGTGGGGGAAACTTTTACCCTGCTCCAGGCTGTGATTTCAGGGCAGGGAGGATGCTCCAGTCTGAAGGATGCCAGGTTGGTCAGAGAGCTGGGGATGCTCATCATCCCCTGAGCTAAAGGGGACAAGCCCTCCTTGTTGGGGACAAGCCACAGCAAGGGTGAGGGGCACTTGTGGTCTTTTTGAGGGGTAAATGGAAGATCCTGGGGGACGGGGCTGACCCTGCAGCAGTCCCAGCCCTGCAGCAGTCCCTCTCCGTGCTCTCCTTCATCTGAAGCAGCACGATAAGGAATGTGAGAGAGTTTAATGAGATTTTGCTGAAATATTTATTTGGAGCTAGTGGCAGGGGACAGGACCTAATAACACAGATCCTCAGGCACGGCACGGGGACAGCCGTGCTTTGGGAACCCCCGATGGTCGCCCCTTCCCCAGCCACCTCCTGCAAGAGCTCACCCCAGCATCGCTCCCAGGGCACCTTCAGTCCTCCTTTCTGGAGCCCTTTTCTCACCATGCTCCAGACCTGCACCTTCTCCTGCCAGGCAGTGATTTCAGGAAGGTGTGAGCAGGGCAGCTGGGACAGGGGAAGATCCTGAGACATCAGCAGAGTGACTCTATAACTCAGTGTTGATTCACAGCCTTTCAGTGGGCTGGAACACAACCCCAGCCAGGGGAACATCAGTTTTTAACAACAGTTGCTCAGCAGTGGGGTTGGATCAGAGGATATTTTGTCCTTACAGCTGAAAGAGATGCGTGAAACCAGATGTGGCTTTGGGAGCAAAACCCAAGCCTGGGATAGAGCAGCTTAGGATTTTGTTTGGGCTGAAACCTCAGGCTTCCAGGACTTTGTCATTCAGCTTATTCCAAATTCATGATGTTTGCAAACCCGATCATTCAAAATCCAAGTCGTTGTTGATGATGTTTGTTCTTATCACTTCTAGTCTGGTGACTTCTTGATGTGTTGGCTACAAGCCATCCTCCCTGCAGCCCTAACGGTGTATCAGCAGCTCGGGTCTGAAGAGTTTAGGTTCCAAATGGAAAGTACAAGTGGCAAGTGTGGCAGAACTTAGGGGCTAGCACAAGCCTACTGCTGCCTGGTTGACTTTCAACCAGGTTGGTGTAGCAAAGCCAACATGCTCTTTCCCAAGGAGGTTGGTAGGGTGACTCCCATGGTTTGAACTTTTAGATCATGAGTCCAGCTGAGTGATTTAACCCCAGAGTCCTCTTAGCTCTTTTCTGGACAGTGGAGATTGTGTTTTTGCCTTTGTTGAGCCCATAATTGTTACAGGAACTGTACTTTAAGCAAAGATCTCGGTGACTCAGCAGGACCTGAAGTTCTTTGTGGCTTCTTCTGTTTTACTGGTTGGGTAAATTAGTGCTTGTATGAGCTGAACCCCTGATTCATATTGTGGTGGTCCCCAGAGACTTTCCAAAGGTCAGAGTGCTGTTTCATTCCCTCTGTTTCTGTAGAGATTTCTCTCGCTGGTGTTTTCCTGATGCCGTTTATAATTTTTTTTAATGTGTTTTTCCTGTGCAGATGTTGCTGGAAAAAAAAACAACAACCCTCGTGGAGATCAGGGCCTTGTGCTGGCACAGAGTCCAGGGAATGGAAATTCAAACTCAGTCTATATATTTTTCCTATTTCTCTGCTTCTCCATTTCCCCTGGAGGAGCAGTGTTGACCCTTTTCCTCCTCTGTGAAGAGGAACATTTGGGTCCTTCCAGCACAGCTGTACTGGAAACCCCATGATTTTGGAGATCAACTTGTACATAATCTTTCCAGTCCTCAGATATTTATTTGTCCAAATATCTGCACACATCAGGGCAGCGTTTTTGGGACTCTTAGGTAGCTCAGAAGCTGTTAGCAAAGCCACCCACATAGAGGGGACAGATGAGCACTATTGTTGCTGTGTCTCTCAGGAATTCATCTGCTGCAGGTTATTACTGCTTCTCTCTGCAGATGTTCCAGTGGCTTTGACCGGTACCGTGAGGAGTGGCTGTCCTACGGCTGTGGCCTGAAGGTGAGACTGAGAGAAGAATCACTTCTTGTAGGTCCTCTGCTAGGAATGATGCTGAACTACAGAAAAAATGCTGGCTATATCCCAGCTCAAAAAATTTACTGTCAGTTCTACTTGACCCTTGTTGCTCTGGAACAGACTGAACATCCCGTTAGACATCCCATTACAGCAGGACCACGGATCCACTTCACAGAGGATGTCTCTATGGGAACAGTTAAATGATGGTCCATCTAATTCAGCATCTGCCTGGCTGGTGTCTTTGTTTCTGTGCTGGTGGGTGCTGGGTGTTCAGTAAAGGTGCAGAGACCTCCATAAGTCACCAAACGGGGCAGTTTGAGTTCACTGGGATATTTTTTTCCTCACCTTCTGAAGCATGACTCTTACTCACTCTCAATCATGAAGAAATTAGCCCTTGTGATATTTTTTTTTTGTCCTTGTTAGCACAATTATCTCCACTTTGGATGAACTAGTTTCTTTGTCTCAGAAAGATCAGCTCTAACAAAACATCTGTTTCTGCTTTGGGGTTTTTTTTTTTAGTTTTGAGGTTTTTTTGTTTTGTTTTGGTTGTTGGTTGGGTTGGTTTTTTTTTGCCACTGAAAACTCAGCTGTGTTCCCTGTTAACCGAGAAGGGAAAGGAGGTCACAGGGCCTATGTAAAGTCACTCAGTGATGCAAGAAGGTCAGACTGTAGGACCTTGCCCTATCATTGTCATTTGTCCTACTTTTAAGTGGTTCCTAAACTTTTCCTCCTCTTCTCCAACCTCCAGGTCACGCTTCCTTCATATTTCTGGCACTTCTGGCCCATGTCCCTCTCTTCCACTCCAGTGTTTGAACCCCAAGGGCTCATCAGCCCTAAGCCTGGGAGGCACAGTCCTCACCACCAGCTCCCTGGCACTCTTGCTGGAGGAAAAGTGGCTGTTCTTCATTTTCTTTCCAGTCAGATGAGAAGACCTGTGAGGATTTAGCAGAAGGTGACCACTATTCAACACCTCCCGACAGCTCTTCCTCACCGCTGGATGAGGATGTCCCCACCTCCACGTCCTCACTCTTCATTGACAGCCTCACTACAGAAGGTAGGAGCTGGTGGGGTGAGCGGCTGTGGCAGGGACACCCCATCCTTGATGCTTCTCTCTGGAGAGGTCTTTCACTCCAATGGCTCATAAAGCCAATTCGTGTCTGAATAAATAGAGTAACAAACCCATTTTTGAAGCACGAGGGTGAGGGGTGGGAACAGGAGGTGGTGAAAGGAGAAGGAGGAGCAGCCTGAGAGGTGAGACTCAGAGCAATGGGGTAAAGGGGGAGGTGAAACCATCCGTTGGGAAGAGTTTTACAGGCATGTCACAGCCTTTTGATGCATTTGTGAAGGTCAACAAGCAACTAGTCCCTGGTGACCAGACACCCCAGCACCATAACGAGTTAATATTGTATAGAGAGGCTCGTGCTTTTAACGTGCTCGGTCCAAGCTGGTGACTTGGGGCTACCAGTGCTCTCTGAGTGGCAATAATACAGCCTGGGCTTGTGATTGCCCTCTGCTTGGGAATGTTCATTCCAGCATAGGAAAGCTCCACATAAAGACTCAAGTTTCCCTTGAGACACCCATGTTCTAAAGCTTGATAATCCTATTAACACAGGGCTGGCTCCTCGGATCCTAGTGGCAGGTATCACTTCAATTTTGCTGCTTAATAGTCCCTAACGCAAACTGCTAATTAGAATAAATAGAAAGGAACGTTAGTAATTGTCCTTCAGCAATGGGAAGGAGTTGGGGGGGGGAAAGGAGAGCCTGGTTGACAGAGTTGACTTTGAAAGGAGCAATTAAGGGAAGCGGGGGGAGTGTAACACCTCCACTGAGATTATTTTCCAACTCATTGCCAGTTCTTGGAAAAAGAACAAGAGGTTTTTTTCTGTGACATAGTCAAGCATGAAGTTAATTTGTAATCTTGGAAGGAAACAAACAGCCAGCTGCATCAGGCAGCGAACTTTATCTGGAGAAGCACAGCGAAGGAAGAAGGAAAGCCAAGGAGGGGACCCAGCCCTCTGCATCCTCCCCAGCCAGCCCAGCTCCTGGCTCTGCTCACAGAGATGTTTGTGGACGCGTCCGACTCGCTGTTCGCGTGTCCACGCTGCAACTGGCAAAGCCAAGCCAAGAATTCTGCATCAGGATTTCAGCTGGACTCATGAAGGGGGTGAAGGTCAAGATGTGAAGTGCTGTAGAATACCTCCTGGTCCTTCCAGAATGAGGTGAAGAAGGGAATTGGATTTTGGGCCCCCCCATGGAAGACATCTACAGCGTCACATCCCATTGATTTATTTGGGGTGTGTGACCAACCTGTTGCTGCAACAACACAGACACCCACGAGGGCTGGAGCCCCATCCAATATTCATTTAATGTTCTGCCTTGTGCACTGACAATATTTATTTAACGAGCAGTTTCCTCAGATATTCGTGCTCCAGGTGGCACCTTTGTGAAGGAAAGCAACAAGCCATCAGCTACCTGCTTTCACTATTGTTGTTTTCTAGGTTTTTTGTTTCCTCTTCCACCAACCTCAGAGGTTTAAAACTCTCACTGGCCACGTAAACGCTGTGCAAAGAGATGAGTTCTGTCAGTGGCCCTGTTACAGGGGGATGAAAGCGGGTGGGGAGCATACAGAATATCACAGAAGGCTCCTAACTTTATTTTTTTTGCCTTTGTTTTTCTTCTTTCAGATGATACGAAGCTCAATCAGTATGCAGGGAGCGAAGGTAAGCCCTTCATCTTCTCTTTGCCTGCTCACAGTCGTTCTGAGTGGAAACATGTTACACTGAAATTGAGTGTGCTGGGGAGCTGTGATCAGGCAGCAGCGTGGATGGGTGACACTGAGATTGGAGGGGTGTCATCAAGACCAGGCTCCTATTGTCCTTACCCTGATTGATACCGTTTCAGGTAGTGAAAAGTGAGAGTCGGGGTGGATCTGTTTTACCCTGCTGCTCTTTTGCTGTTCCCACTTAGTCCTGCTGTGCAAACGAAGAGGATGAGTTTTCTCTTGCCATCTAATTCCCTTTCTTCGCAGTTTTTGCACAGACACAAAGTCCTTTTTCCTTTTGAATTTCCCCAGCTGTGCCAAAACCCGGCTTTAAACAGTGTCCTTAGCCCAGCTCTGCCTTTTTCATCTCTATTCCTGTGAATCCTTTCTCAGTCCAAGTTTATTCAGCAGCCCCAAGGGCAGGGAACGGAGGTGTTGCTGTAATGTTCTTTCTTACTAATTCCAGAGAATGGGAAGGATCCAGCTCTCTTTGCCTGATGTCAGGTTTGCACCGTGGTCGTATGCACACATGGAGCCTGTGCCTCTTACCCAAAAGCAGCTCAGGGAAGTTAAACTGGCTAAACTGGGTGCAGGATCAATTCCTTTGCAGGCATGGGGCCTTTGAAATGTACAATCTTCCCAGTTTCAGCCAAATTGCTCCCCAAATGGCTGGTAATGTCACTGTTAATATATGTCCCATACCCTTGGTGGCTCTGTGCCAGTGCATATTCATAGCTGAGGACAAGGGCAAGCTGGAGGCTGTGGGTAAGACACGCTGAGGACCCCGCTCAGCATATGGCTAATGGCTTTCTATCGGCGTGAGCAGCCAATAGATAAAGAATATGGATTGGAGGGGGGGGTCACTGTATGGTGGTGGTGGTTCAATCTTCTTTGAAACCAGTCCCTGCTGTCATCTGAAAGGGATGCTGGTGCTTGGACAACTCTTGGTGCATCTCCCCTCTCTTGTTGAGCCCGGCAGCAGCAGGTTGAGCTGCTCAGTCGTCCGTGCAGAGCTCTGAAAGGTCTTGCCTCGCTTTTCTTTTCTATTCTTTCTTTTACTGAGGTCTCAGCACAGTTCAAAACTCAACTGAATCTTTTTTTTTTTTGCAGGTATGGGAAGCAGCCTTCCTTCCAAGAAAGCAGGTGCCCCGATTCACACAGGTACCATCGTGGGGATCGTGCTGGCCGTGTTGCTCATTGCAGCTATTATCCTTGCTGGGATTTACATCAACAGCCACCCCACCTCCAACGCTGCCCTGTTCTTCATTGAGGTGAGTGGAGAACCTTCTCTCTGGCCAGTTTTGTCTTCCTCTGTTATCAACACCAATCCAAACCTTCTAGAGAAGAACAAGGAGCAAAGAGAAGAGGCGAGAGGAACTTTGATAGAGTTCATAGCTGAGTTTCTTTTCACAGTCCTACAGTCACAGCTGATCTCCCAACCTCCACCTGATGATGTTTTAAACTTAGGCTCTCTCCCTCCCACACTGTTTTATTTTGCTCCTGTTCACATGCTCCCTCTCACACATTGCCTTTTATTTCCCCCCCATGCAATGTTAGACCCTTCCTCCTGCTTGCATGAGCAGTTGACACTCAGCCTGGTTGGAGGGCTCGGTTGGAGCTGTGACATAATTGAGATCACTGCCTTTTTGAATTGCCCAGCTGGATTTTGTTGACTAAAATTGTCAGCCTTTACTGATAGATATTGTGCCATCAGCGACTGTGTGAGTGGTGGTGTGAATGCTCTAAATGGAAGATTTTAATTCTCGGAAAGACAAGGGGGTCCAACAATCTCCATCTGCTGTTAAAAGCCAGAAGACCGCGTGGTGTAGGATCCTGAGGCAGTCAGGAGTGGGCTGAATCCTGGCGTAGGAGCTGCTGTGGAGGGAGTGAGCAACACTTAGCCCTCAGCCTTTCCGTAGCGCTCGCTGGCTTTTTCCTAGAGCACTTGTCTTTCCTCCATCTGTCCTGTTTGCAGAGACAGGCTTCAGAGAATTGATCTATGTGGCCTCTACTAGTGGAGTACCCGAGCACTTGGCAATGTTTCATGCATTTATCTGCACCCAGCTGAGAAGGGGTGATGCAGTCATCCCTGTTTTGCTGATAGAGGAGACCCAGAGCTGATGTGGATGTGGTCGCACGGGAAGTTTGGTGGCTGCACAGGCCACCCTTGTTCTGAGGCTGATGTGAGATTCCACTTAAAATTTCCATTTCCTCCCCACTCCCCATTTTAACCTTATTAGTGGGTCAGCTCAGTGAGATCAGTGCACTGTAAGGAACTCTTTTAAGCATAAAGCAATTTTTTTTTAAAAAACTTACTTTTATTCATAAAAAAAAGTCAAACTTTCACCCAGACAACGTTGTTTTTGTTTCAGGACCGAGCTGCCCATTTCCCTGCAGGCTTGGCGTGACAGGCTCTGTCATAGCTTCTGATGGGTCTTTGTTTCTGTCCACAGCGAAGGCCACATCGCTGGCCTGCCATGAAATTCCGAAATCACACCAACCATGCGACGTACTCAGAGGTGGAGGCGGCCAGCCAGGAGAAGGAAGGCTTTGTCGAAGCAGAACAGTGCTGAACGCTTCTCCCTTTGCATCTGAAACCTCCCATGTCTCAAGTGTTGGAGTCTTCTGTTATTCTATTGCAAAGTCTTTCCCCTCTTGGAAAAAAAAACAAACCAGCAAGTAGAGGAAAAAAGACCCAATGGAGCATTTGAAACGAGTGAGGCTGGGACTCGCCTGGATTCCTGAGGGGACAGCAGAGCCCACAGCAGCAGCAGGGGGTTGTGACATTGGACTCTGCTCACAGCCTGGCACCGAAGCTCTGGATGTGGTGGTAGAAAAAAAAAAGTGCAAAGTTTGGGGTTGGTGTGGGGTTTTTTGGTTTGTGGTTGGGTTTTTACCCCCCCATGTGCAGCTGAGCTCTTCCCTCCTCCACCTCTGTCTTAGCAGGGGCAGCAAAGGTGGGGGCACATCTCGGTACAGGGGAAATAGGTGGTTGCCTCAAGCAACAGGCTCTGGGGCAGCAAAATAGTTGATTTTTGCTGTGTGCTGGCTCTGTCTGCACTCAGGGAAGTCGGGCTCGTTGCCTCTTCCCCATCCAGGGCTGGGTGGTTGGGGGTTGGTGCTGCTGGTGGCCCAGGAGAGGTCAGGTTGGCTCTGCAGAGCTCACCTCCCCTCTGCCATCCCCTCTCCATCAGCTCTGTCCCTTTCTCCGCTCTCCCCCTCACCTTCTTTTGAGGTGGGTGACATTTAATTTTGTCCTCATGGTTGAGAAGCCTTGTGCCCTTGCCTTTTCATCCTGCAGTTGGTCTTCCACCACTGTGGCTTCAACTCCCTGCCCTCCTCTCCTTTCAAAGCAACAGCTTCCACCCCCAGCTCCAGAGAAGGGGAAACCTGATCTATTTTAAGGGCAGAACCCTGTGGGGGATTTACCTTTGGGATGTTTGTGAGCCAATGGCTCTGATGCATTTTTTTGGCATCTAATTAGTTTGCTAAATTACTAACTATGACCCTTACCCCAGAGAAGACAGTGTGAAAAATAAAAATCAAAATCTGAGAGTCCTTCAGAATAGATCCTCGTGGCTTGGCCACTAATCCAACAGGAACAGAGTAGGTTGTGATGGCAGAGGATGGGGATGGAGCACTAGCAGTGTCCTCCCACAGGCTGAATCCTGCCAGAAATCCAAGCTTATTCATGGACATTTCACATAAATAAAGATTGAAGGCATAGATGCCTTAAGACCATTGAAAAAAAAAATATCTAAAAATCACTTTGATAACATCATAGTTTTTAGAGCCCACTCAAATCAGTGGAGTTTTTTTTGTATTTGTTTATTTTATTATGTCTGTGATAGGCCCCTGGTCCAGATTTATACATATAATCATGATTCCAGACTCTGACACTACCTAAGGGCTTCAACACCAGACCTCTCAGGGTTTTCTACTCCTTCTTTGCAATCAGAATTCAAGACTAATCTGCAGAAATACTCTACCCTACTTCCACAGACACCAGCTGCAGGATTGGGCCCTAAACTGAGGAAAGCTTGTATAAAAAAATAAAGGAGAGACTCCAAGGTCCAGTGTAAGGTTAAGTTTTCTTTCTCCCACCAAAAAAAGGTGTTGGTTGTATGGGGCTTTTTTTCCTTTTTTAATTTTCTCTGGCTCCTCAGTTATTTATTCTGATAATCATGTTTGGTGCATATTTTATCCACTGGCTGGTTCAGCTGTCACTGGTGGTGATTACTGCCAAAGGCAGGGTCTGTCTAATTAATGTTTTCCTTCTCCTCTGCTGAATTTATATAGCCATTAAAGATAAATATGGATGCTTTGTGGCATTTAGACCCGAGATTATACTTTCTCATACATAGCCACTAGGGAGACTTTTGCTGCATCTTATTATGGCATAAAGGCACCAAAATGCTCAAACAGGGTAAGTCAGACTGAGTTGTGCCAAGTTGTTATGGCCCAGACAGTCTCTCTTTAGACATATTTTGAGGATAAACTTGATTCCCAAATAAAGCTTTCAACTAGAAGGTTGTTTTTTTCCCCTGTTTCCCTGAAGTAGAAGGAATTCAAAGGGATGCTGTCATCTAGTTTGTACCCAGGATCTGATCTCCTTTGAAATGGTTATGAGCTGGTAAGGAATTTTCTCTAGATCTAACTCTTTTCAAATCATGGCCTTGTTTTTACTGTTTTTCTGAACATGCATACACAATAACAGCAAGATTTTGGGTGCTCCTCGTCCCTGACAACCCCTAGAAATGCAAAGTAACATCCAACAATTCTGAAATGCTGGAAATTTAAAAGAAAACAGACTTTAAATAGAGTGTAGTTGAGCTGTATAAATCACTGCTGGTTACTGCAGCCAGGATCTCTGAAGGATTCGGAAGAAGATCACTCAGCTGGAGAATAACAACATCCAAGTGCCATAGCACAGAAACGTTTGAGATACATAAAATACCTGCACTTCAGGGGAGATGCCAAGTTCTGAGTGCATGGAGTAAAAAAGGAGCTTTTTTAAGAAAAAAAAAAAAAACAACTTTAAGGAAAGAAACAAAACAAACCAGGCTGTTCTGTATTCTGTAGCTGTGCAACAGATGTTTGCTCTACCCTCTACTGAGGAATATGGTTTGGGGTATGGTCAGGTAGAATGTTAACAGCTCCAATTCATCATCTCTAAGACCTTGTGGTAGAGTAGAGGAAGTTACTGCCCTTAGTCATGTGTGTGCTCTGAGCTGGAGGTTTGGATTCAACCAGCATCTCCCCATGCTCAGGCTGGAGTAGCAAAGCACTGAGATGCTGAGTCTCAAGGAAGAGAAAATTAAATAAATATTCTATCTTACCTTTTGACATGAGGTCTAGCTCTGGGCACTTGAAATTCACATCTGGGAAGCTCACAAGTCAGCAGGGAGCAATTTTCTTTCTGAATGTTCTTTGCACATGGCTTTGTAGTGGAAGAAAAGATATCTATTAAATTCCAGAAAGCCCAACGGTACTGGTGCCAGTGCCTAGAAGAAAGAGAAAAATGTCTTTACTATCAACAAGTACTGCTCTAATGTTGAAGAGGAGAGTCTGGACTCAAGTATAATGCTGGCTGCACCACGTCAAACACATCAGGATCAATCCTCCTTTCCTACCTGTGTAACTCCGACTTCAAGATGCTGGTTAATCTTGCTAGTCTCGAGTGTTGAAGCAAGAAAGTGATGATGGCAACTATGACATAAAGAGAATTTAATTTTGCTTTTAATCATGTGGCTTCTCTAGCCCCATCCTGAGGTTTTTCCTCTGGTTTCTGATGAACCCAGCATTTGGGCTTGCTTCAAAGCAGACCGTATATCCTACCTGTATAGTGACATGTATATTTTATAGCTATAAATGGGGCTGGGGCTGTTAGCTGTGCTCAGTCCCTTGCTCAGCTGGTTAAAAGAGGAATGCAAAACACAAACCAGTGGCTCTGGCTCCTCGTTTGTCTGACCGTGCCCTGGCAGTCTGTGGCAAGTGCTGAGCATTCAGGCATCAGGTGGAAAATGCCATCGTCCATCCGCTCCTCGTCCCCTCGTCTGCGTTCAGCAGTTGGGAAAACACAGCACAGGGTTTATCAGAGACCAGCGTGAGGTTGGTTCTGCTCCTTCAAAAGTTGGGGGCTAACCCCCCCCCCCCCCCCATTTTTTACATCAACAGGAGCAGGACCCAGATTAGAAAATATTCTCTTAATAACTAAAGGCCTACTTTCCACATACTTGAATTTACAGCACAGTTGGACTATTTGGGGGGACTAAAGGCACTTTAACTGTCTTTTAATGCAATGTATTTACTATGGATTATCTGCATGGAATACAGTCTTAATATTAAAAAAAAATATATATCTTCCTTTTGGACTGCTTTGTTTTCAAAATAAAACATGGAAAGGATTATTGGTCATGTTATGTGAACTTCTAAGCAGGATGGGAATGATTTTAATCTCATATTCTTTTAATTGACACTATAAGAATACAAGGATTTTTTTTTTTTAAATACATCCTTTTCTGGCTTAGTAATAACACATCATATCAGGAGGTGTTCCCAGGACATATCTAGGATAAAAATCTAATATAATTCAGTTTCAATCAAGACTGTAATTGTCTTCTAATTGTATTCTGCTCAGCTTATTTAGATTTTTTTTTTTAGGCTTCTCAGCTTGAACAATGAAGTTTGCTGCTTCCATTTGACTTTTTGACAGTAGTCAGGTTTAGTGTTTTATCTCTACACTAGCACCAAATTCTTTCAAAATGTAAATCACTTTAAAGGTCATTATTGGAGACCTCTGGGTAGCACCTCCAGATTGAGGCTTCTTTCACGATTGTACGTTAAAAGTACAAACAAATGGGGATGATGTAGGAACTGAAATGAGGTGATGAACCGCAGGAAAAAGCTCATCTTGTAATTAACTATGGCTATCAATAGATTAATTCCCATGGGAGCTTTGATAGCACTGCTTCTGTGTGTGCTACACCTTGAGCAGGGCACAGCCAGGACAAGGACTTACCCGTAACCCTTTCCCTGCACTTACCTTGCAAACTGATGTATAGAAACAGCCAAAGCAGCAGAAATTGGAGCAATTCAGTCCTGCTTCACATTGCCTGTGAGAGGAGAGTGTGGGACTCGTTAGGGACGTGCCTAGAAGGACATACCTGGATGTACCAAGCTAGAAGGACATTCACAGCAGCAGGAGGGAACTGTAGTTCAGGTGCTGGGTTGTGGTTCAGGAGATTCAAGTCTCCAATAGTCACTGAAGCTCCTGGTACAGCTGCTCAGCTGTAATACGTGAACAATAACACCATGTTTTGCCTGTGGCTATTTAAATTGTGAATTCCCCATCCTGGGGCTGTTTCATAGCATCTACATGTACTGTTCTCAGCCTGGATCCTGCTCAAAGAGCTAAATGCATCATTTTCTAAGCACAACTTTATCCCTGCTGCCCTTCTGAAGTGAACATCACCATTTTTTGTACCTCCGTTCAATGGCTACAACCATGTTGCAGTATTGGAAAAAGAAGTAATATATCTGCTGCTTCTCATTTTCCCTCTCACCATCCCAA